AAGACGATAGCAGTGCAGTGGATGGTAACACGGCGGCCGAAGACGCTGCCGGAGTGCAAAGCGTGCGTATGCAAATTCGGCCACCCAGCGCCATATCYGCGCACGAGAGTAAAATACTGCGACGACGCGATAAGACATTCGCCAATTCGGCCGCGCGCAGTCACTCACAGCCCCGTGAAGCCGAACGACTCACCAGTCCAGAAGCSGAYGTGCTCATGCGYAGCGCGAAACAACGTAGTCTCTCATCGCCGCGGCACAAGGATGAKTCCAGTGAGAGTGAACGCAACGGCAAGCAAGCGCTTGCGATGGCCGATGAGAACATTAGCCGTTTGGAGCAGAATTTGCGACGCTGTGAGGAGGAACGCAAGCGCTTCGAGTCGGACAAACGTCAGTTTGAGCGAGAAAAACGCGAAAATCGGCTGCGCTATAAACAGCTGCMCGACAGCGACGAGCGGAAACGTTTGCTACAGAATTATCGTAAACTAAGCGATCGCATACAATTGCCGGCCGACGCTGAGGAACGACGCCGCATGGTGCACAGCTTGCGTTTGCARCGCAATGAAGCGCCCACACTGCAGCCACGTCAAMAACACAGCGGCTACGAAGAGTCCTCCACACAATTCTCCTCATCCGAAGTAGACGATGTGGAGGAATCCCGAGCACATCGGTTGGAAAAGCATACGCACCCCGTGCGCCGACAAGTGTCAGCCATTACAKGTGCAGTAAATTATGTAGTCGATGTGCGTGGTCCGCCACCACAGCCGCCAGAGCGCCGCAGTGTTAGCCGCAATCACTCACTCTCACCTATGCGACCGCAAAGACGTTCGAAGACGCCGGAACAGCGTGCGGAAATTATGCGTAGGCTAGCCGAAAATGAGGCCAATAACAGTAAGTCGACTAGCATAACACCAGAGCCGCAAAGTCCAGCCACACCCATGGAGCAAACAATGCCGGAATATTCAAAGTCACAGCTTCCAGYCGGTATGGCTGAAGTGCGTCGGCGTTACAGCACGCCACGCAAGGATTCGCTTACCGAAATTGCCAAGCGTAGAAAGCAAAGCTTAGAGAAAGCCCAGCTAGAGGCTGCAATGYTGCTTGCGGCTAAAGAAGCAGAGGCAGCTAGGTTAGAGGAGGAAGCACGTAAGGCTGAGGCTGCTGTGCCGCTTATGGCTAAGATTATCCGCGGTRTATTCGCATTATTCATTAGCACACATGCAGAAAAACCAAAGTCCACAACAACAACTGAGGTACATTTCGCATCTGAGGAACTGCTTTTGCCACAAGATTTAATTGCCGAAGATTTACCTAAGAATTTGGTCTCCAAAGAACTGATACGACATCTCTACTTCGASGCTCGTCAGCAATGGCGACGCATGAAGACCGATTTTCCGAAAGAGTTAAACACTATTCGGTTRTTGCGGAATAAATGTGTTGCAGAGTTGATTCTACTAATTTTGCTTTGCGGTTTCGGTGGTCTGATATTCCGTTACACCGAGGGTACTTCGGAGAATATCTACAAATGTGAAGTGCGTAAGGTAAAGCGTGACTTTATCGATAATTTGTGGACAGTTAGTCACAACATGAGGTAGCCAAGACGTGCCGAACTCTACAGTAACTTGTATACAACTTATTGTCTTTTGTTTTCTTCATAGGGAGGACGATTGGAAATCGCTTGCACGTCAGAAGTTACGGAAATTCGAAGACGAACTTAATTCACTTGCTGAGTTGGGTATACGRCGATACCCGGGTCAGAAATCGTGGAACTTTGTAAATTGCATRCTATTCTGTTGGACCGTTATAACAAGTATAGGTGCGCAGCTGTTTATTCCACTATAACTTTCAATACTCTCTATATCGTTCGGTACAGAGTGCAGTTTACTATCCGAGCTAAAATGAATCGAGGATTTTTTTTTTATTACTAAAAAAATTAACTCTAAATTACTCTCTTTAAATAGTACGCGGTAAGTTGGTGTTCCACTGAACCTATGTATTTTTTCTGAGAAAGCGTATGAGAGAGAGAATTGTATGTGATCGACTCAACTCAAGAAGTAGGGAAAGCCTCATAGAGTCAGAGAAATCTCAAGACTTCAGACCGTTGAGGGCCGCAATTAGGTCATCATAGAGCCCATTGTGCTGTATGGAGGTAACCAAATTAAGCTTTATCCAGCAACGCAGTGAATTAGTTCCTCCAGGATCCATTACTGCCCAGAAAGCAGGCCCATTGCAGCTGTTCAAGAGTTTATTGCGTAATTTTTTCGCAGATGACATCCATCATACTAACGTTTCATATGTTAGTATTGGTCGGATGATGCTAGCGTAGAGCCAATATACGGTAAGGGGTCTTTAACCCCACTTTTGACCAATGGCTCTTCTGTAGGGGTACCAGAACTTTGGAAGCCCTGCCCTCAGTTCTCTCCGGCTTAATTTATCTAGATGTGTATAAGAGACAGGATTAACAGGCTGAGCTCTGCATACTTTTGGTTCTCGGAAGAGAAGAGAACTCTCTTCAGCTAAAAACTCAAATCTCACTAAGGATAATCGATAAAAATAGGGGCTGCCTAATATTAATTCAGTCAGACAAACCTCTAGGTAAAGCTTATGGATAATTTTTCGGGTGTTCAAAGAAYCTTTAAGATTTCAAGCCAAATGTCGAGTTGGAAAATATAAGTGGAACTTCTCTTCGGTGATCTTGAAGCCAAGGGGAATACTCTTTAGGTTGCTTTAAGACGCTAATGCCCATATAATGGGTCATTTAGGYGCATTCTTACACAAACTTTTCAAAAATTATGTTTTCATAGAATTTTTAACAACATTTTATTCAATTTCACTTTTCTCATTCTAGGTTATGGTCACATTGCACCGGTAACCACTTTGGGCCGTACTTTGGCCATCATCTATGCCATCATTGGTATACCGCTGTTCTTACTCATTCTTGCGGATTATGGTAAACTCTTTACGCGTGCGCTGAAATTTCTTTGGGTCTATGTGCGACGCTTGTATTACACCGGCACTTGTCGTAATATACGTAAACATCAGTCGGTACGTGACGCCATGAAATTGGCACGACGCTCGAGTATGTTCTTTGGACGTGAAATGGATATTGAGTCGCGCACAACTGCGCCCGAAACACCATCGTCACCATTCGATGAAACCTTCGAAATAGATGATGAATTTAATTTACCCATTTCGGTGGCTTCATTCTTGCTGATCAGCTATATTTTGATTGGTGCGCTATTCTACTCYATGTGGGAGAATTGGAGTTACTTTGAGGCATTCTACTTTGTCTTCATCTCGATGTCCACCATTGGTTTCGGTGATATGGTGCCGAATCATCCGATATTCATGATGTGTAGCATACTCTATTTGGTCTTCGGTTTGGCGCTCACCTCTATGTTCATCAATGTGGTGCAGATTAAGTTGAGCGATACCTTCAAGCAAGCCTCGATCAAGCTGAGCACTACAATTGGCATTGAATTGCCGCCCGATGAGAATGCTGAGGGTGCGATTGAAAATGCAGAAGCGGGCGCAGAAACGACGGTGAATCTGAAAATGTCACCAACTGCTACTTCGCCAGCGAGTACGATGCCAGCGAGTACGATGCCAGCGAATGAGTTTGACCTGAAAGTGCCGTCGCTAGCGCCACCACGCCCAAACAGCAACAATGTGGGTGAGCACGAAAGTCCGCCACCGCTGCCGAGTCGCAAGCAAGAAGTCGAGTCGAGTGAAGTTAAGAAAAAGGGTTGGCGATTTTGGTAGACGAAATGCACTTGCGAAGTATGACGACAGCTTTCGTAGTCTTTTGCGCATTTTCCGTTTGAAACTGCTATTATGGGCGTTTTGGAAGCTTCAAGTTTCTATTACAGCTTTTTTATAGACTTGCACTTCGCAACAGCTGCATCTAACTGTGTCTTTTCGAATTTTCTATCAAAGCTTACAAAAGAGCTTGAGAGCTTTAAGTTTGACTGCACTTATACTCGTAGTTATTAAGACCTATAAACTTTTCCATCCGCACATATCACCGACCAATG